CAAATTTTGAAGGGATGCAACAAGAATTATCTGTTTTGAATTGGGCAGTTGAGTTATTTGGAGATACTTATGAGATGTGGAAAATTTTTAATGATATATTTTTAAATATTCAATGAAAACATATTCCTAATAGAAAGAAAATGGTAGCTACAAGTAAAAACCAGGTTGGCTCACAAAGAGTTTAAGAAATAGAATTAAAGAAAAGCATCATAAATTTAAGAAAGTTAAATTGACTGGTATGACAGGAAACTTAGAAGATTATACAAGATCAAGAAAGTTGGTGAAACAGGAAATTAGGACATCAAAAAGGATGTATGAGAAAAAGTTGTCTGAATATGTAAAAATTAACAGTAAGCATTTCTTTAAATACATTAAGGGGAAACAAAATGTTAGGATAGGGATAGAACCCTTGAGGGATGATAAAGGAAGGCTAGTGTATGATGATTATGAGATATCTGGGGTATTAAATTTTACTTTTTCTTCAGTTTTTACTACTGAAGATTTAAGCAGTGTTCCTCATCTTGATCAGTTGATAAATGGAAACGAGATCAAACAAGATGACTGTAACAATTCTGAGTTGGTTAAGAAAAAATTCGAAAGTTTAAAAAATGATAAGGGTCCTGGGCCAGATAATCTTTCCCCAAGGGTTTTGAAGGAGGTTAAAGATTGGATATGTGAACCACTTGCTAATATTTCTTGTCAGTCCTTGAATAGTGGGCAGGTACAAAGGATTAGAAGTTAGCTAATGTAAATCGTCTTTTCAAGGGAGGTGATAAAAATTGTTCCAGTAATTATAGACCCATTAGTCTTACATCAGTTGTGGGAAAAATTTTGGAAAAAAATCTGTTAATGTTAAAAGATACTTTGCGAAGTCATTTAACAAAGTTTAGAATTTTATTGGATAATCAACATGGTTTCACTAAGGGAAAATCTTGCCTTGCAAATGTTTTAACATTCTTTGAAAAGGTTACTGCTTATGTAGATGAGGGTAAGGGTGTAGATTTGGTGTTTCTGGATTTTCAGAAAGCATTTGACAAGGTGCCACATAAAAGGCTTGTAAAAAAAAAAAATAGTTCTGTAGTGTGGGGAATAAGTTAGCAAATTAGATAGAAGAGTGGCTGGATGGAAGAAACCAGAGTGTTGTTACAAATGGAGTCCAATCAAACTGAATTAATGTCACAAATGGGGTACCTCAGGGCTCAGTCTTAAGACCTTTGCTCTTTTTGATTTACATCAATGACATAGATGAAGGTATAGTCAATAAATTACTTAAATTTGCAGATGATATTAAGGTTTTGGGTGTTTCTAGCTGTGAAGAGGATGTTGCTGATTTACAAAAGGATTTTGATCATTTAGTGAGTTGGGCAAATAAATGGCAGATGGGTTTTAATTATAATAAATGCAAGATAATGCATGTGGGTTATCATAATTTGATTTATTAGTATAATTTGGATGGGAATAACCTTAATAGTGTTATGATGGAAAGGGGTCTTGGTGTAATAGTCGATCAGTCTCTGAAGCCATCCGAGCAGTGTGCTGTTGCTAGTGGTATGACAAATAGGATGTCAGGTTGTATTTATAGAAATATTGAATACAAGTCTAAAGAGATTATACTTTCATTGTACAGGTTACTGGTTAGGCCACATTTGGAATATTGGGCTCCTGACCTTAAGAAGGACATTGAATTGTTGGAAAGGGTTACTAGAATGGTGCCTGGGATGGAGGGGTTGTCATATGACGAGAGCTGAAATCTCTCAAATTGTTTTCTCTTGAAAAAAGAAGAGTTAGGAGGGATCTGATTAAGGTGTTTAAGATTGTAAAGGGAATTGATAGTGTTGATGTATCATCTTTTTTATGTTTAACAATGAGAATAGTAGGACTAGGGGACACAAGTATAAATTTTGGCAAGGCGGAGTCAATCTCAGCTAAGACAGTTTTATTTTTATAACAGGGGTTGGCTTTTGGAATGGGTTGCCTTCAGATGTTGTAGAGGCAGTAAATTTAAGTGAGTATAAGAAAAAGCTTGATAAGTATATGAATGAAAAGGGCTGGGTTTACATTTTTTTTATCATTATTATTTTCTAAATCATTTTAATTTAGTTTTGAGGATGGAACAGCAGAGATGGACCAATAGGTCCCCTGTTGTCCCAAAATATTATGTTATGTTATGTTTGATTTTAATGACTGTTAAAGCAGCTGTTTGTCCATTGATTTTTGTTGATGCTTACATCTACAATACATCATTGTATGTTCTTGTTATTCAATGTTTTCTGTACTTTTATTGTTTTCATCTTTTACTATTGGTTTAAACTTGTATGACTTTGTAGTTTTAATTGCAGTTTTAGGGTATGCTAAAGCACACAGGAGCATTTACAGAAGATTTGTTTTTGTAGAAGGTCATTTATACTATAAAAGGACTAAATTCAAGTAGATCTATACAGACATTGTGTATATTGGATGCACACATTATGAATTAACAAATTATATTTACTCTAGAGAAGAATAAAACCTTATTTTCAAATTAGTATTTTGCTTCCTACCAATTTTGGTATAAATGGTATGAAGTATTTAATTTAAAATTGTTGTTTATATTTACCATAAAAGAATCTACTATATAAATTTATTTGTGGACAAGGCATTCAGCAGTTAACTAAATTTAGTTGGATGTGTTTTCTAGCAATTGGTTATTACTAAGTGTGGGAATCAGTCACAGCTTATCCACAGTGTTTAGAACATGTCAATGGAGGAATTTCCTTGGTGATTGTTAAATAAGTATCCTGACAATGTGTTTTTCTTATGTAAGTTTGAAACTTTATACATTTCAACATTTATATTTAAGGCATACATATGTCAGAGTTTTTTGTATAATGGCCAGCTTCTTTACAGTAGTTGTCTGTGACTTTTTGGCAATAAATTCAAACAATAAACAGACAGCATACAATCCATTTGTTTTAAAATAATATATTCAAAACAAGTCAAATATATGTGCAAACATTTTTTACACTGTAGGATATCACAGTTATATCTAAAACTAAATAATTTTCTTTTTTTTCTTCTAAAGTCCACACAGGCTGATTCAATTACTTTAGAATCTAATTGACAAGACAAATTATTTTTCTCTACTCTGTTTCTTACTATACAATCTGTGATAAGCTCACTTATGTTACCCTGTAGGTTACCACAGTTGGATTGGAACTTTAAATAATTGTCTGTTTTTTGTCAAAGTCCACACAGATAGGTTCAGTTAGTTTAGACAAGACAGATTATTCTCCTTACCTCTGCTAAACTGTGAAACGTACTTTAAGATATTGCCCAGGCATATTATGGCTAAAGTAACAATCACACTGTTTGACTTCACTTTCACTAACTAACTTTCTCTGACGTAACGTGAACTCACTTGGTCATCTATATATACATACATTTCCCAACTGAGGCCTAGAACTTTCTACAAATTATGACATGTTATGATGTAACAGTACTCAATTATGACAACAAGAAAAATACAGAAGATTCAAGTAATGTGATGTCAATTTACATCAATTGAACTACACATAAAATGTACAACTTGTATCGAGTTACGTAACGAAATTTGTCATAACTATCACTTTTAAAATAATTACTTTTAACACTCATTATAAAAACCAAATAAACATTAAATATTAGATCACTAAATGAACTAAATAATAACTTTTACACTGAGTTTCTTTTAAGTATAAAATATTGAAACTGGCCAATTGTGGATAAATGAACAAATTTTACTATAACAAACAAACAAAGTACGGTGTGCATACTTGCTTAGACAGAATCACAATCAATTCTAATGAAGTGTGTTACAATTTTCTTTATCTTAT